ATATAGAAATATATATATATATATTAATCGATATATAAAGAGAAAAATAATAGATATCGATATATGATAATATATATAATTATCGAAATATAAATATTATGATATAGAATAATTTATTATATATAATATTTAATTATATATATACAAATTGAATATATAATATAAAAATATTTCAATATCTATAGAAAGATAAGATTATCAAATATATTAATAAAATTAAGAATAGGAAAATCAATATTGAATTTAACTAAAGAGAAAAGATAATTCAAATAATAAAAATATAATCAATAAATATTTATTTTAACCATTATTTCTTGATATCTTTTCAATAGGGTCAAAAAAATTTTTGGAAACTATTTTTTAATTATTTCTGAAAAATTTTATTGAAAATAATTTGCGGCGGCGATAGCGCCGCCGCCATAAAATAATTTTCTATTCGAATTTATTGATTTCTTTTTTTCTTATTTATTATATTCATATCTCATTCCTTATATCTGATTATTTTTATTTCTCTTGCTTTTTATTAGAAAAGCTTAGAGCGCCACTGCGAGGTTTTCCAATTTTTTGCGAATTTTTGGTAAATTTATTAGATTTTTATAAAGAAAAATATATTCTCTTCAAATCATAGAAAGTAGGAAGGAATAACGAGCTAGATCGATAGATAGAAGAAGATAGCTAGGGAAATTTAGATTTAGGAGGCTATAAAGAATAAGAGAAATGAGAGAATCCAGATAGGTATATAGAGAGGAGGATAGAAAGAGAAATTTAGATTTATGAGGTCATAAAGAAGAGAGAGCCAAATAGAAAGAGAGATTTAGATTTAGGAGATTATAAAGAGGGAGGCGAGAATAGAGAATCAGATACGTAGCTAAAAAAAAAAAGATAGTTAAAGAGATTTAGATTTAGGAGATTATAAAGAAAGAAAAGAGAATAGAGAGCCAGATAGGCATAAAGAAAAATTTAGATAGAGAGATTTAGATTTAGGGAGATATAAAGAGGAAAAGAAAAGAGAATTAGATAGATAGATAGGAATATAAATAAGGAGATTTAGATTTAGAGGAAGATAAATAGAAACTTAGAAAAACAGATAGGAAAGCAGATAAATAAAGATATGAAATGAAGAAATATATATGATGATAAAGATAAAGAGAAATAAAATTCAAAAGAAAATTAAATAGAGCAATGAATTAAATAAATAAAAGAATATCTATTTATTTCTATCGCTTTTATTTTCTGCTTATATATTCAATATTGGAAATAACTACTTATTCAAATAATACACTTATTTTTTTTATAGATATGATAATATAATTATATATAAATCTATTTCTTTTAATTACGATGAAATATAAATAAAAAAATCTTTATGACTCGACTTGCCGATAAATTTATATTAATTTTGATATTTTTATAATAATTGGGCATTATAGAATGAAACTCGAGAATTTCGGATAAAATCGCTATATTTCGGAGCGTAAATTCATTTCATAATAATCAAAATGACTTATTCATTTATTTCTTATATTTATATATTCTTAGGGTTTAGGGTTTATAGAAATTATTAAGAGTTTGGGAATTATTTCTGAAAATATTTTTTTGAAAATATTTTCTTTAAAATATATATATATATATTTTTTTTATTATATTTTTATTATAATTTCTAAATCTAAAATTCTAATAGAATTGAAAATATATTCAATATGATATCTAAATTTTATTTTTTATAGATTTATCCAAAAAATTCAATAGCTATTGCCACGAGATTTCCTTATATCTGAAAGCTTGGACCTAAATAAATTTTCGAATATATCAATTATATGAGACCAGCCTGAAGAATATCTTAAAAAAGAAACGCCTCAAACAACCAAGATTTAAGAATTTGGTACCATTCTCGTCATTAGAGGCATCAATATTTCTAGAGACCATATTGAATTGAATCTATCAGATTCATCAATTTATCAACAGAAAATTTATACGAAAGGCGTCCCCATCTATAAGCAAGAATCTATCAATAGGTTTGGATTGATGGAAACGGAATAGAGTAGGGGTTGGGAAACAGTTGTAATATAGCCTCATGGGGAAGACGGCTTGTTGCAGGATGGGGCCATGTCGCCTAACTCGATGTTCGGGAGAAAATACTTTGCCCAAATGACTGGGCATTCACATACGAAATCCATCGCACCCCCCTTGACCACGAGGACTGAATCTCGTCTCGGGTGGAAGATAGTGTATTGCAGGCAAGTCTCCTTGTACTTGTCATCATCGAGAATGTTGACGATCTCTTTCCGAATCGCGTCCCAATTCGGCCCGTCGTCGCACCTTAATTTCGACGAGCACGTCACAAGTCCGGGACTGATGCACTCTGCCGCATGGTCTTTGAGAAAACCATAGGTCTTGACATCCAGTGGAACAGGCCGAGAGACCCGACGGGTTGCACCCAGCTTTTGGCGGTGAGAGCACCGGCTCCGACGGCCCCGGCACTCAATGCCAGCGCAGCCCTGCTTGGCACCTGGAGTTCAAACTCTCCAAGCGAAGCAACATGTGCAAAGCCGCCACAAAGACCTTCGCTTGTAGCTTCGCGAAGCGGGACAAAGCCAGATAGCCTGCCACCACCGCATGCGAACTCCCTACTCGTTTCAGGGCAGGGTTTACCGGGCCGGAGCTTGACAAGGTATGCCAGGTATGACTTGTGCGCAAACATATCTCTTGTTTAATGCCACCTTTCTGCTTGGATTGTTGCACCTGTGCGCTGTGGAGTCGCGCAGGCCTTGGGACCGAGAGTGCAGAGGGGATTTCACACACATCCCAAAAACATCAGGAAACCAAACCATAGAACCTAAAGGTGCATTCTCGAGCTGTTGATATGACGCACCGATAATGCGATCACTGTTTCACATCGTCCGATACGACCAAAACAACGGCCCCGGCTATCCGCCGGCGGCTGGGCAATAACGAGCCATGTCAGCCGGCGTCCGGGGCAAGAAGCTTCATTATCGGGTCTGTCGTCGCGCGCGCACGTATACGGAGTTTACGCGTGTGTGTGTGTGTGTGTGTGATTGTGTGATTGTGTGTGTGTGTGAAGCACAGCATATCGCGCAAAAGAATCTTGCCATTCTGGATGGGTGCACTCGTGCACTGAGGATGTCGGGGAATGGAACCTTGGCGCACCGACTGAAAATAGTGTCGTCGACAGGCTGCCGGTGACAGCACTTGGTTTGCATTTTGGGCATGGAGTTGGGTTACTAACCTTTAGTTAACCTCCTTTTCCGAGCTCAAGCCAGTGGCTATGTCAGACACAACTGATTGAATTTTGCGTTCTGTAGCGACCGCTACGACCCCATCGCGATTCCAGGAGAGGCATCTGCTTTATGTTCTTAACCGCTTGCCAGTCCAGCTCGCCACAACTTGAAGGCGTGCAGTGTAGAACAAAGCTTGGGTTAATGTGGGTGCGCGACTTGACACACCCGCCGTGCCACATGAAGGAAGACTGTGTGCCCACCGATTTTAGGTCTTTTCCTTCAGTGAGCGATGAAGAAGGATGGACCAAGCTCCCTAAAAAAACGCGCGGGCCAGGGGCCCCGCAAAAAACCTTCGCGTGAATAAGTCTTGTTAACGCAGCAACAGCTGGACTTATCGCAGAAAGTTTTTGCAAACGAGAACTCCTTCAAGCTCATGGTGGCCAGCTTTCGTGACAACTTCTCTTTTTTACAAAATGCGGATGAACAGGCTGTCCGGCTGAGGTCGAGCCAATCTGATTGTCCCGTTTTGCAAAAGCTTCTAGGGCTAGAGCGTTCAGGTTTCGAAAGGAACTGCCGAAAGTATGAGGTTCTCGCGTCCACTGCATAGAACCTGTGATTTGTTGCCAACGGCCAACGGGCTTGCTTCAATTCCTGTCATGTTTTCAACGTGCCACTTGAAGAAGGCAAAGTTACGAGGATGCGTCGGAAGTTTTGCACCGGTGAAGCGATAACACACCACGGACTCTCTTCTCTCCAGGCGGCGCTAGTCTGTGCAATTTCGGCGAATAAATAGCTACAAGCACTCATCTACACAATGGCAGACATCAAGTGCACATCAGCCTGGGCGCATCGCACGTGCGAACATGGTGCGAGAGAGGCTTGGCTTGCAAAGGGCTGGGCTCACTGGAAACAGCTGCGGCTCACCAAGGGCCGAACGAAGTGAGGCCAGTTTACTGATTCGGACAAGATTTCCCCCACAAGTGCCGCCAAGCGTGGAATCGAAATATGAAAGTTGCGGCAATGAAGCTCAAGCAGTACTTATTTGCAGTCTAGACTCTAGACTATGACTGTGGCATGTCGGAGAAGTCTGGACGTCAGGCTGAATCATCTGACTCCCCGCCCTGCTGGCTCTATCGGGGACACCTTCAAACTTCCGAAACAAAGGTGCTCCATCGTTGCCCCTCTAGCTTGTGGCGTGGCAAATTTGGCAACCTGACCTTGCAGGTCCTTCATACTGAAACAAATTTATGGTTGTATGGATGACGGCAGGGATCAATTTCTCTTAGTCTTGTCTGCTGTGTTTGGGAGAAGGGAACATGAGCTCACGGCGCTCGCCCGGGGCACCCGAAAGACCGCGTCCACTGCTTGCAGCGCTGTTTTCGGAGGAGATCTGTGCTGGCTGTGTCTGTGCAGCGCTGTGGCTGTATGGATACTTGAAATTGATCGGCTAATTCCGGGATTCTCCGGCAGGCTCGGGCCGCACAGCGCAGGGCGAGGCATGTCCGACGCGGCCGCATACGCCTTGGAAGCGAAAGAAGCTAGAGAAATGCAGCAAGACGTCAAGACTCGCGAACTTGAAGCCGGCGACTCAAAATCTTCATCTCTCCAAGTTAGAAGAGGCCAAACTTCTTGGTCTCCCCGTGGCCCAACCTCGACAAGGGCTCACAACCCAGTCAAAAGCTTGCAGACTGCAAGTGTCAGCCATCTCAAGCCCCGGGCCCAAAGAGCTTTCCAACCACCTGTGCGAAGTCCTTCTGGAAGCGTGCATCATCCTTCGAGGAACGGCAAAGTGAATGATCCTCCTGGGCGTCCGGCATGCCTCCTTCTGCCCGTTTCTCAAGCTATCGGCTCGCCTTTGCGTAGATTTCGACGTATTTCCGAAACTCGCGGTCCTCCGCTGAGTCGCATTGCGAGGCAAAGAGCGGAGCTTCTTTTTTGAAACAATGGACGTGGTGAATGCTAGCACACATCCACTTTTTGTCGTATGCCATCGTATGCATTCCGGGAGGGCCGCAAAATGCTGTCCTGAATGAGCACTATGTCAGATGGGAGCATCATCAAATCACCTGGCCAGAATTCAGATATGAAAGCTGCTGGCCCGCTCGCCGTGCTTCTCATGGCAATCTTACGATTGCTGTCGAACTGACCACGCCTGTTGGATCTTCGAACTGCAATGGGCCTTTCCACGGTCGTCCCTTGTGAGTGGTCTTAACTGTCCTCGGATTGCAGTGAGCCCTTTGCGTGATATCTGCTCGAGGTCAAAACCCTTTTCAATCAGTTCTTCAGGAAGACGGCGAAGCATCAGGAAGTGGTAGGTGCGATGCTTTTAAATGCACGCAGGCCGAAGCACCAGGCATTCTCCAGTAGCTCGCGGAAGTACTCGTTGCCTCGTATCTGAAAGGCTCTGCCACTACCGCTCTTTAGCGGAAAATGACGCTCTGGTGATCGAAGCATTGCGCAGTCACTGAGGAAACTAGAACGAACTGAAATCCGCCCACCGAACCCTCAGCACCGGCACCACACCCACCCCCAGCACACGTCTCTAACTTTCTGAAACGGATCTGTTTCCAAGTTACGGCTTTGAGTTGGGCTTCGTTGGGCTTTGCTTGAAAGGAAACGGAGCCCTTGACAAAGTTTCACCAATCTCGAAGACAGCAGAGGCCTCTGAAACTTCATGACGTTTATGTTAACACAGATTTTCGGGACATGGCTTGGCCCAAGCACTGACAGTGGTGGGTGCGCGTGTCCACGGTCCCCAGTAGCCGCTGCGATCTGTGTGGCAGGCGCCCAAGCCATGGGCACCGCTCAAAGCCACGATCTCCTGACATTGGCTCTGCGACTTCTAGGCGCGAGTATCGTGACGCAGGTGGCCACGGAACGAAGTCCGTGGTGTCTGCACATGTCAGCGACTGGCGGAACATGCCGACACATGCAACCACTCGCACCGGCAAACTAGCGGTAATCAGCAGCACAGCCTGAAAACAATTAGACCGGCGAAGACCCCACATAGCTCTGGAAGCGTCAAAATGGACATAAATAGTTGTCAAAGGTCTTAGCCGGGACTGTCAACCAGTTGGTTATTCTTTGTTGCCCCCAGATAGTTTGGCGTGCGCAACGCTGTTGCAGGTTCAAGCTTGCCAATCTGCGAAAGGCCATGTCTGGGCTCACTCTTCTTCACAATTGCAGCTTATGGCGCAATCTAAACGCCACTCGGCCTTTCCATTCTTTCGGGTGACTGGGCAGGGTGCTTGAGAATGTCGAGAAATTCCTATCCCTGATAGTGACCGTCGATCTTTGATCGTACATCTTGTATGTCAGTTCTTCGCCAGTCAATCGGGACATTTGTGCTGGCAAAGTCTTGGTGGCTTCGATTCGAGGATCGAACGTTTCCTAAGTTACAAAGTTTCTTTTTTCTGTCTGGACGTGCCGGATCAATTTCAGCTTTCCCAGGCGTCATACAAGTAACCATGAGCAGTTTTTATGGCCTGTGTCGCAGCAATCAGGGCACCAATCTACTGAAGATACTCAGACGAGCTTTCATGCAAATCCGACACGCGCGACAAACAAACCAGCAATGCACCAAGCTTGCTGCCAATCCCGCCGCATCAACAAGGGCATGCGGAATAACAGCCGGTGTCAGGTACACCAATGTACCCTGTCGCACAATCGGAGAATGGTTTCCAATCGAGTCAATCAAGGCAAGATTTTTGCGGGCCCCTACGGTCCAAAATTCCTGCAGCAGCAATCTGCAACACTGACCAGTGGAAGCGGCGTCCCAATGCACACGTAGAGCTGCACACTCATGGAACGACCATTGCTGCATAACTGCTCAATCTTCCTACCTTACATATCCAATGTCTTCCAGACAAACTTCGCAATGAAGGCGCCCTCTCACTCAAGTGCAGCGCAGGATGTTCTGGTGCAAACCATTCCGGTCCACAGTTTGCACAAACTCCGCTGTCGAACAGTATCCACGACTTATCGGCCAATCAAGCTTTCAATCAAGCTGTCATCAAACTTCACAGGATCAATCTCTGGCAATTTCTGCGGAGGAACCGAAGGCACTCCGGCACTCAATGCGCCGATCAAAGGCATGCTTCATGCATGGAAAAGATTTGGCATTATCCCAGGCTTCGCACCTCGGACGCTCGATCGGGACGCAAACGGTCTGCGCAATGTTCCCCAATCTCAAAGCCATTCTGTGTCACCGTTTCGAATATTGTCGAACAATGGCCCACGTGGCACCATCAGTATCCATCAGTGATCTGTGCCAGCATGCACACCAATTGTCGTGAGGAGAACAATAATAATTGATGTTTTTTGCTCCAGTCTGTTGCGCGTCGAAGGCATCACGTCATCAGCGGCCGCTCTCTGGGAACCTTCGACAACATCCAACATTCGCTTCGCAAGGGGCTCGGATTGTGCACATGCGGCTCTTCTACCATGCGGAATTCAACGATTTGTGGGTCAACAAGCGCCATTCGATCAGCCCAGCTCCTCGCAGTGTGGCATTGCGGTACCACTCCACCATTTCGTCCAAGCAGACGACACGACGTCATTCTGCAAAATCATGCTGACGACTACTCCTCATTTGGATGCTGATATGACTGACATGGTCAGTCAACTGATGGTGAATAACGTAGTTGTCAAGCTTGAACCGCTGATTGACATTGTTCTGCACCCATGTCCCCGTCGCGACGGTCACTTCTCGACTGCACCCAATGGGCGAGGCACGCGACATTCTCTTGCCCGTTTCCTCACAAGCACTCCTTGCACTGCCACTGCAGTGACTTCCGCAAGGCACTCATCACACACCCATCCATAACATCCTCCTTGGCATAAGGCTCTTGCATTCCTCATGCCAGCTACCTTTGGTCAGGAAGCTTCGCTCGGCCTTAATTAACGAGCACTACCAGCCAGTCTCACTCTTACACTCCTTGAGAAAAGTTTGGAACACCCAAAGTTCCAACGATGACATCCTCAATCTCAGGGAGCTCATTGACTCATTCGAGTGCCCATCGGATCTTTGGCTAGTTTTGGTTTTGAAGCCGGAAATCAATCTCCAAAACTGGCGCGAAAAACAAATAAGTTTGGTTGATGTTCCTGTGGTAGTTTGGGTTGGTCCAGAGGTGTCTTTTGGACCCGGCGTGTGCACTTGTTGCTGGCCTCGGCGAGCTAATTTATCCCCAAAACTCGCCCATCAAATCAACTAAATGTGGTTGATTACTCTGCAGTAATTTGGGCTGATCCAGGAGATTTTTTTGGGACCCGACTTGCGCACTGTTCCTGACGTTTGCTAGCTTTCGAGCCGCAAATCAGTCCCCAAAACTCGCCCGGAGCCCCACCTACACGGCTCTCCCCACCTGTAAACCGCCTGCATGCTGCTGCTGCTGCGGCGGCGGCGGACACAGCGCGCCTACCTGCATGCCGCCTGCATGCTGCTGCACCCCCTGCAGTGGTGGTGGACTCAGCACGGCCCCTTATTTAGCTTAGAACCCTTGCTAGCTCAAGCTATTTGGGGAAAAAGGCCGCAGCTCCAGAACGGGAGATGGGGGACCCTGACGGATGGAGCGACTCGGCGTCAGGGTGCACACCAGTTTATGCGGGTTGTTAGTGATTGTTGGTGGAGACACCAGCGCGGATACAGCATGCCATACCCGGCTGCACGCAGCAGAAAGCTGCATGCAATCCAGACTACTTACCGCACTATCAGCGGATGTCCTGGTCGTTGAAGCCCATTCCTCAGTGCATAGTCTACTCGCCACATTACATGAAGAGGTCTATGCAGCGGCTTTACAAGACCAGAACAGCTGGCAACTAGGCATCTGGGGTAGAAGGCCTTCATCCTAGATATTCACACTGCCTCCAGAAAGGTGCCAGCTATGCTCCATTGTTCGAAGCTCTACTCAACATATTTGCGCTAACTCTGAGAAGGGCCGAGGCAAGTATTTCCCCACGCAGCCACGCACCTCTGCCGTTTTGGACAAGGCTCGGTTGAAGATCAGCCTGAGGTGCGTTGCCGTCTTGTCAGGGCTGCCCATGTCTGCGCTGGGCAGGCGGCCATCCTCTGGCACAGCGCGAGAGAGAGGCACAGGGAGAGAGAGAGAGAGAGAGAAAAAAAAACAAAAAACGACCCGGAGATTTGCGCATCCACAAGCAGTGCTCCTTGCAAGTTGGGCCGTCCCAGGCAGGGCACTCCTTCGCAGTCTTGTCCTTCCGGCCGGGTGTGAAAGGCACCTCGAGCTGTGCGATGTTTTTTTTAAAGTCCAACTCGGACATGACAGACCCGGCACCCGACCAATGCCCAACCTTGCCTTCTCACCACCCATCTCTTCGATGGCAACGCAGGCTGCATAAATCCAGAGGTCCGCGTACGAGACCGACGGGAACTTCTTCTTCACCTTGGCTTCTCTCAAGATCTCAAGGTGTCCCGGATTGTCCCGGATTGTGACCGTGCATTATCCACCAACGTCTCGCCTCCATCAACCAGACGGGTCAAAATGGACAAGACTCAGTACCAAGCGCGCTACTTCCGAAGTAGCTATGACCCGGGCCGAGGGCTCGAGGAGTGGGTCATATCAACAAATGATACAACATGTGACAAGAGATATGGGGAAGATCGCAGGGAAGGGATCACAGTGAAGTAGTGGGAAGAGTGGACACTTCCCAACAGTCAGTCCTCGATGATCCGTAAACCTTCAAGACTGACTCTAAGTTGCAGCCACAGCTCAGGCTCCAGAAGATCTTGCGCCACCTTCAGCCCCGCATTGGCCCCCCAGCCGAGTTCCGGCTCAAAGCGCATGGTGGCCCCGCTCGACCTCTGAAAGGTCAGGAGAAAAACGCTACAGGCTGCCTCCCAGTTGATCTCGCGTCTTCGAGAACTCGCACAGGGATCAAGGTCGCTGATTCGAGTGGGCAGCAGGGCTCGGCCCTTCAACTTTCCTGCAAGGGTTTTCGTTTCCAGATTCCATCCCTTGAAAGGTTGGCCACTTGTGCTTCGCAGATACTTCCAATTTGTTAAAAAACGTTGAGTTTCCACCGTAGCCGAGCGCACAAACACTGCACAAGTCTCTGCGGGCAACGCCTGCCGTTGTTGCACACGGCCTCTTGTAGTAACATCCACAGTACATGGAACTACGACAGGCGAACACGCAGCTAGCAGAACCGAATACAGCAAGGGGCTAAACGAATCTGACAAATGTCTGGGAAGCTCGGAAGCGGCAGGAATCTGCAGAAAACTGAAGTGTGTCTGCTTCAACTAGGTGCCGGGCCCGCCAGTTTTCGTTTGCTTGCAGTAGGTGCCGGCGGAGTGCCAGGCCAGTCGAATCAGCAATGGTCCTGGTGTCGCACCCTCGTAGGACGAGTCCTGAGCATCTTTCCGCGTGCAAGATGCCCTTCATGAATGCAGAGGCAAGCAACAGCGGACGAGGGTAGCACGGAGATGCTCAGGGCGATGTTTCGTTGGGAACTTGAAGAATGTAAACTTTGGATCGCGTGCGAGACGGAAATCCGTGCATTCCACGCACTGTAGTCAAGATTTCTGGCGAAGAAATGGTCAAATCAAAAGCAAGCTTTGGAATGTAGGTGGTGCAAAGCGTTTGGCACTGCCAGACACGACCGAGGACACGGCGACAAATTTCTGGTGGCGGTTGGATAAGGAAACTCCGCACCGAGACTTGCGAGTATCGCAGTCCGACTGTTTGAAAGCCTTGAGAGGCGCTCTTGTTTTCGGCGCTTTCAGCCGACTCAATTGCCAATGCCAGTCCAGTCCTACTACAAGAGAAAACGAAGAATCGCCCAGTGCTTCAGCATTTGCTCACTTGGGCGACCTGAAGTCAACGCCGGCCTTGGCAGCTGAAGGGCTTTGGGCTTTGGCAGCTTAGCTCTCCCCTTGTTTGCTCTTTTATCGCTGGCTGCTGCGCCCATGTCAACTAAGGGTCCAGCATACGTTGCCAGCCCACCGAGCTCCTCTTCGATGCGCAAGAGCTGATTGTACCTCCGACGACTGAGACATACCCGTCTTTGTGTCGCGGATGTTACAAGTCTCCCGCGGGCACTCATGACTCATAACAATCTCAAGTCTCTCCTACGACAGCGTTGAACAGAATAGTTATGTAGGCAGAGACTGGGTTCGGTGCTTGGACAGGCGCTCGGATCGGCATGGTGCGCCAGTCTTGATCTGTCCAGTTCGGAGACCTGATTCAAGATACTGGTGCACCATGTGCATCTAGGGCACCTGGCAACACGACCTACGACGAGGTCTGCGATGAAGGAGTCCTGTTCTGCAGCGGTCAACAAAAAACTACATCAATGGGTAAGAACTGGTTTTTGGAAAGCCACCAGTCCTCAGTCTCGCCAGACCGATGCGACACCATGACGCCCCAACCAGCGTTCTGAGACATGGTAGCAGCCTGGACGAAAGGGCGGTTAAACAGGCCAGGGATGAAGCGGGGCCATTCCGAGCAGGCCTCGATAGCTTCGGTGATGGATCCAATCTGGTTAACCTGGCTGCAATGCCAACAGTAAAGCCATTCGCGCCTGCAAAGTCTCGATGGCAACCTTGAGGAGGAGGGCGTTGCAAGCCCCGACTTCCAGGGCCTCTGCAAGTTCGCTCTGGATACTTTGCACTTTAACCTCGACCTCGTCAGCGAAACGAAGAGCATGGCACCTTCTTGACGCGAGTTGGGTTCGTCACGAGGAGGTCGTCCCCGACGATCTGTACCCGCGGCCCGACCTGCTGAGTCGAGGTGCGACTGTGTGCATGCGCATGTCTCTGTCCGAACATCTGCAGGGTCAAGATGCAAGTGCGTGAAGGCACGCTTGCACATGCGCTTGTCTTCTAGACGTAAACAAAAACTTTGCACCAGGGCTTGCCGGCTCAAAGCAAAACGAGAGAGGCCTCCGACATGAAGTGCTTGTAGGCGTCCCAGTCATCTTGGTCGAACGGATCCTGATGGGTTGTCGAGCTGTTAGCAAACGCTTGGCAAATGCGTCGCTACTTCTTCAAGCCATCTGTACATGTCGCAATGTGCGAATATCCTCGATGGAGACGAAAGGGTACTTGTCGAGCCATGCCTTGTAGTAATCAGCCAGCTGTGGCGCAGTCTTCTTCATCTCCTCGCAGGAAAGTGTGCTGGTGAAGGTGTACCTGGCCTCTCTGCACACGAAGAAATGCGACTCACACAGCGCTGCAATCGCCATGTCAGGCGACGCCGAAACTCATGAGACCAAGCATCGGGTGGGCTGCTGGGGTTTTTGAAGTCCAAGTCATAGGTCTTGCCCTCGGCGCTGTAGAATTCAGACGCTGCCACGTCGGTGCCAATCTTGACCTTCGCGCTGTGGCCAGACTTCTCGATTGCCTCCATCAACACATCCAGGGCCTGCTGCGAGAACAGCATTGGCAATGACTTCTGCGAGCACGAGAACTGAAAGCCCTAGACCCCTGCCTCGTTGTTGTCTTGCACATTCGGTGCAAAGCCACCTTCGTCACCAACGTTGCAGGCCTCTCAAGCAGGAAGAAAATCCGAGTCCGGGCTGAGTGCGAGCTGACTTCATGGCCGCGAAAGCTGGTTGCTGCCGGGCAGCATCCTGCCCATACTTTTTCTTGATAACGCTCTTCAAATTGTGATACACTTCAGCACCAATCACCATCGCCTCTTTGAAAGTGGAAGCACCCACAGGCAGGATCATGAATTCTTGACACGCCAGTCGATTTCCAGCATGGCTGCCGCCGTTGATGACGTTGAAGGATGGCACTGGCATTACGAACTTGTCGGTGCTCTTGCCTGATATCTTGGCCTTCGCAGATGCAAGCTGTGGAACGTCAGGACTGTCTGCAACTTCTGCAAAGTCAAGGCCATGGCAATGTACTGATAGAGAGGCATGCCGCTAGCAGCTGCACCAGCGCGACACACAGCCATGGACACAGCTAGAATTGCCTTAGCAAGGCAAAGGGCATAGCGGCTGTTTGGGCATCTCATTTAGCCAAACAAGCTCTGGGTCGCGTTTGCGCCAACTTTGGACTTGCTCCTTGGCGCAGGCCGCGGCTTTGACGTTGGGAAGTCTGCTCAATTCTGGGAGCACTGCCATCCCCACTCGTTCTTCGATCCATCGATCCTTAGTGGGCTCTGAGCGGAATCAATTTGCGGCGTGCCGCTTGATCTGCTCTGTCCAGGCGCTCTTCGACCATCAGCTTGTCGATCTTGGTTTGGTCGGTGACGTCCATGCCCAAGAGCTTGGGAGCGAGAATATCGTTAACATTTGCGACGGCCTTCAGAACACCTGCAGGTGGCCGAGGGCCATTGCAGAATTGGGCAAGACGGACTCTGAGGCAAGTTGACCCATGAGCTGGAGTGATAAAGGGAAAGCTGGTCCAGCAATGTCCAGCACCTAGCATGAGAATCCAAGGCACCCTTTCCCAATAAACGACCCTTGTCACCGTCTCGAAGCTCCAAGGCTTCGTAGATTCCAGTCGAAGCTCCACTGGGGACGGCTGCACGGAACAAGGCCTGGGCTTGCTCTCAGGGTGGTTGAAATCGAAGTAGCTTACAAGCTGCAAAGCCAGCACTTGCACCAACCGGGTGACAGTTCCAGTGCAGAGGTCCACTTCAACGGTGGGGTTGCCCCGCGAATCGAAGATTTCTCGGGCTTTGACAGCCATGATCGTCTTCGAGTCGGGAGCAGCAGCGCCTGCGAAGGTGGGGTGCGGGTTATCTGCGGCTCCGTTTGCTGCCAGAACTTGCCGGCTCCAATAAGGGTGGGCTGTGCGCGCACTATTTGCTGTCATGGGCGACAAGATCACGGACGCGGACCTGCTGGCGCCGCCACTTTCGTCTGATTTTTGACAGCTTCAGCCGCCGCTTTGATCTCATCAAGATTACCTTCAGATGCACGATAGACGCAAAGCACCTGACTCGTTTCTAGGGCCTGCGAATCAAGTTCGATCCATGTGGCCCAAGTATTTGCCGAACTTGAGGGGTGCGATTGCATCGGCGCTTGCAATTGGCTTCAAGTCCTCGCATCGTGAGGAGCACTAGTCTAGGGCAAGTCTGGCATGACTACAAGGAGCCCGTCCGAATCCAAGGTGTACATGAGCGGGCGTCCAGTGGGGATTTCAAGGCCTCAGGGATGAAGCAATCGAACTCCTGAACATGTCCATGCACAAGTCTTCCCTGTGAGTTCTTCAATGCGGGATTTTTTGTCCATGCCGATTCTTTCATTGCCTTGCAGTACAGATTCTGGGATGTCCGTCACGATCCTAGCCAAGAAGCATGTAATCATGCATGCTCCTATCCCTTCGTGTTGAGCCAGGGCTACCCGCTCACACCAGCATGCAGAATCTAGAGCTCATGGTCAGTCGGCCTAGTCTTGTGCAGCGTTTGTCCTTGTGTTGAGCCCAGACTGATTGTAAAATCCACCGGCCTGTGATGTCGTCATCGGAGATACCCTCCAAGAACTTGAGGATTGCCCGGATAGAATTTCCGTGGGCAGCAACGAAAATGGTTTTGCCCTTCTTCAGCTCTGGCGCAATCGCCGACTCCCAGAACGGCATCACCCGAGCCTCAGCGTGGCTTACAAGCTCAGAAGAGAACCTGGAAATCGGAAGGAGGTTCGGGTGCTGTGGCTGTGGACCGCAAACGATGTGCATGCTGAAAGTGCCTGTTTATGACCGAAACCGAGTGACAATCGTGTCCTTGAGGCACTCTGTTTTGGGGATGTCTGCCTTGTTCAGAGCGGCATACCTCAGATCTGGTAACCGGCCAACTGCACAACAAAAACACAACGCACGCGCCACTCCCGTTTGTATCCTCGTCAAGCCGCTTCTTCTCCTGACAAGGAAGCACAGAAAATGAATGACTCCAGAGGCGGCGCCGACTTTAGTTCAAAGAAGGTTTCCGACTGGTCAATAATTCAATGCTAGCAAAACTCCTTCATCTTGAACTTATGCATCTTATGCAGTTTGGCGAATGTAATCGTGAGCATCTGGATGCATGCCTTTGCGGGGTTGAACTCGCTGTCGTCGTCAATTGGTGGCGGCGGCACGTCGAAGCTGCGCCGCCAGACTTGGACCTGATCGGCGCCGTGCTTCTTCACCGTCTCCTCAGGGATTTTGCCAAAATATCGGTGCTCAAAGTGCTGAACTTCTGTGGGGTGTCCTTCTTATCCAAGCCCGTGAGGCCGCCATACATGCGCTCGTTGAGTCGCCAGCTCTTTTCTACGGGAACAAACAACTGATCAGCATTTTCCAGCGCCAGATCACATGTCTTGATGGCACCTGACTGCGACGCGCGGGACCACGGCGGGGTTTCAAGACTTCTGCTGCCGTGTGTTAATGCCTTTCACCAAGCCGCGTTTCAAGTACGAAGTGAAGGCCATGTCCACCTTAATGCCCTCCGACTTCAGCAAGCTGCCGGCGCTTTTGGCTTCGCCAAGGCCCTTTGCGGACAGGTCGACCTGCGACAACGGCAAATGCCTCACGGAAGAGCGGAGCGGAGTGTATCCTGAAAAATCAGCCACGTTGCGTCTACCCATCCGGTGAACCTGTTGTCCACGTTCCATTGGGACTCTCCATGCCGAGAGAAAATCAGAGTAGCGTGTGGCTTTGCCATGGCACGAGGGACAGCGGAGAGAGGCAGCGGAGGGGCAAAAAGCTGCAGATGTTGTCTGTTTCACCTGGGCCCAAGCCAAATGGCAAAGGACTTCAGTAGATCTCCGACAGCCTTGACCTCATCGACATTCTACAATGGGTTAAAGTCTTAAAGCCACCGAGGACAATTTATTTTTCTCGCAGCTGCAAGTCGCCAGTGTGCTTAAAACCAGCGGTCTTCTGAATCTTCACATCGACCTCACTTGCCCCCTTCTCTTTCATGTCAAGCTGGTGGTTGCCCCATGTGCTACAAGTACTTGGGACAAGCGGCAAATGGCTCCTTGTATGACGCAGACACTGCGGCACCGTCGTCAGCCAATAACTGCGAGATGTTCCTTGAAAGCAGTTTGTCAGATCTGTGGTCTCATGAGATGTGCCATTTCTTGTGAATGCGTTGCTTTTGTGTGGACCGGCTGATTTCTTCTTTGCTCGTATCAACAAGACTTGAATCCAAGCATCCATCGATGAAGATGGTTCCAGATTACGAAACTTCGGCCTCCTTATCTCAAGAGCTCTAGCGACTCTAGCGAGCAAGCACTGGGGACAGTGAAGACCGATGTCACTCTGGAACACGTCCAACATAATTTGGTTAAGATCCTTCAGGACTGGAGATTGTGTCGAAGCCCCACTGATGCTGGCCATCTGAGAGGGATGTCCAACTCTCGGGGTGAACATTCCTGCACGAACACATGCGTGACCGGCCAGGTGTCATTGCAGCAACCTACTCCCAGAAAATGCATGGGAGTGATCGGAGTCCTTAAGTGACGCAGCAACAGCATCCCATTCTTGTGCAGCACCCACAGGAGCATCTTCAACCCGCGCAATGGGTGGACTGTGTGGTCCAGCGCATTGCTGACATAAACTATGTGAAAGTAATCCTTCGGATAAACCTGCCAGAGCTCCTCCACGTCACAGTACCTGCTGCGTGATCTGACGTTCTAAAGCAATGGAGCAAATGGTAGTCTGTTCATCACACAGAAAATCAAGGCCGATGAACGCCGAGGGTCTCTGGAAAGCCTTCTGGCGGCGTGAAGCCAGTCTCCACGGCCAGCTGCCGGTAGAGCCGGGAAAAGGCATCGCAAGAGATCGTTTCGCCCACTGCGCCATAGGAGCACGTGAAGCTGCGCGTCGCAGCCACGGGGCCAGACCCAAGAACAAGCACCCGGATCACTGCGAGCCTGTAGTTACGAGACCCTGAAACGGCAGACAGTTGCCGACAAACAAGACAGGACAGGCCCAACTACAGGCTGATACATGTCTAGACACATGCCAAATTGTGGCTGAAGCTCTCCAGCTCCCGAGCGAGCTCGCAGAAGTCAAGCTGGTCCGCAAAGCGAAATTGTGCGAGCTTCCCTGGCGAGGCCTTCATCTTGTGCTCCCAATACTTTCGATTGTCCCATGCACCAAGTGCCCAATGAAGGCGCATGTGCACTTCCATGTGATTGTGAACTCCACTCTGGGACCACGGTACCACATCATGTAGGGTCGAACCAGCCACATTACGCACGAAAGGCAAACCTCGCCTTGGTCGTAACCACTCGAAGTTACAGCTCTGCTCTATGAAGAGCTGAAAATTGGAAGAGAACTCCGACAAAGTGATAGGCCATGCACTGTGGTCGATGCAATGGGTCACCATTCCGAGCGCTCTGAAGGCGACCATAAAGAAAGAGAGCGCTGGGTCTTGGTGGTGAGGGGCCATCGACGATGTGACCGATCCGCATTCAGACGTCGCCGTTTCGGCTAGAGCGCACATTGACAGCAACACCACAATACCCGGAAAGCATGAAAGGTGAGCCAGGCGTCGATTAAGCCCTTCCGTGTGCAGCATTTCCGCGGTCAAGCCCGTGCGCTGGAGACCATCATGGCAATACTTCCCGACGGCAGGCCGATCCAAACTGTCCAACTCCAGCGCTTGGCTGAAGAGCCAGCTGCATGTCGGCCCCGAATGCCCGCATGTGAGCCCTTCCGCTTGCACATCAGGCCGAAGGCTGCGGAGGTACTCCGTGCCTCACGCTCCCCATGATGAAAGGAGATCCGTGAACGCAAACGACACCGAGGCGCAGGCAGCAGCTTTCGAAGGTGAAATCCTGCTCCCGGTCAGCAGTTGAAAACTCTTAATCAAAGCCTCCACGGCTCAGCAATATCATGAGTTGTCGAAAGGGCTCTGTCCAGCCTGGTTTGGGGGGAAGCAAATCGATCGTCCTGCATGTCTCGAGCGCAGATCGCTGAACCAGCCACCCTGTGTGTCCCGATCTAGGCCCTGTCTGACTTTGGCGTCCTGCTTCGGAACAGCACAGTTCCGGCTGCACCTTCCCTACCCAACAAGAATCGACCATACCCCCATTGCAGCATGCATTCTGGACTGGTGCACGTTGGAGAAATACAAGGCGCGCACTCAGTGCGTTTCAGTGAGTTGACACGACGGTTCATTCGTCATATATGTGCTGCTGAAACGGCTCGAGAGAACAACTCATGAGGCACCAAGTATTTCGCTGTGGTCTAGACAACTCATCCTTCTTCAGCACTGGCATACATCAACGGTTTCAATGCTGCAGCCGCGAGTCGAGAGATCTGGCTCCGGAAGCTGTACGGATGTCCAAGGCTAAGCATAAGAAAATCAATAAAGCCAGATGCAGCCAGCGATCCGCCGTCTTGCCAGCACTTTGGTGCTAGAGTTGACTAAGCCACGATGACGGAACAGAAATCCAATGCTCAGCGCTTGGTCGCCTCAGGCTGCGTGGTGGCAGGCAGTCGCGCTGAAGAGCATTCCAGGACTGCCACAGGTCTGCAACAAAGCGCCGTCCTCGACATTTTCTTGATCTTTGACCACGGCCGCAAGAAGCCTCCACAAGCTTATTCGTGCAAGAATGCGGGGAGATGCATCGATGCAAATGATGAATGTTGCTCCCTCTCCATAAGCCTCGAAACTTCGCATGTTCGCCCGTTTATCGTCACCTGGCCAAGACAACTTAGTTGAGATCTGCTAAGACCCAGGTGGCTCCGACAGCTTCACTTTTGCATGGCTAGCATCGCAAAGAATCTCGGGTACTAACGGGGACCTCGTTTGGTCACAGCGGCAACGGTAGCGGCATCTGATCTGAACATGTGCTTTCTCTGTACACTCTCGAACGTTCGGAATGCACTCAGAAGACCTTAGGTCAACTTTGCACATCCGGGGAGTAACATGTTCAGACTTCTTTCCGCTTCGAAGTAATTCTGGCCACTTCGTTGTCTTCTGTCAAAACAAACTCGGCTTTCTGAAGAACCCTCCGAAATAACTCCATCGGTGCCCCTCTTTTAGTGAGCACGTCCACGATCATTTGCTTTGTAGCCATCCACCGCAGAGATATTCCATAGCTTGCGATGTCCTCTTTGATAAGCATCATCTCGATGGCAACCCTTTTGTCTTTGACCGCTATCATGGGTCCTTCCACGTGGTCGTACACTGGCTTGCAATCAATAACTGCAGTAATCGGTATCCGACTGCTCCAGCTGTGGTCGTCCTTCAGCGTGTAGTCTGAAAACACAGCCTCGCACCACATCGATCGTAGCCATCTTGCTTCCGCTATGCCTCTTGACAGAGACAAAAGTTCTGCTCCAAGTGTAGAGTGAGTCTGTCTGTCCTGCTTGTAGCTTTTCCAGCGTAACACAGAGTATGTACCCCAGGTTCCACTGGGCAGCCTCTCATCACAGGCAGCAACCATGTATCCCGCTTGGCTGCAGCACGACTGTGCACTTGCCCATGCGGCATCAGACAACATGACAAATTGAACGTGTTCAAGAGGAATGCTGCGGACCCAGATATAGGCACTGCTGTTGTCATGACATTGGCTCACAAGCTTGTTCAACTCTATCAGATCAGCAACTGTAGCTTCACACACACGCTGTTGCAACAATGAACAGCCTGCTGCCAGATCTGGTCTGCTGCTGCTCACTAACCAATTCACAGCACCTTAAGACTCCGCGCATTTGTCTCCTCTCGTCTTCGCTCACACTCTCTGTCTTGTCTCTTCTCCGCATCCGACTCAGGTCAATGCCCTTCAGTTGTCTGGCGTATTCACATTGACTGATCTTGATGCTCCCATCTGGCTGCTGTTCAAGTTTCTTGCCCAGAAAGTCACCCGAACCTGTTTTCCAGTGTTTGAAAGGAAACATGTTTCTCAGAGGCTCCAGCACATCCTCCTGAAAGCTAGCATCACCACCGGCACAGAGATCATCCACATGCAAAGCAATCGTTCCTGAAACCTGGCCTTTCACATAGTAGTAATACAGACAAGGATCAAATCGCGACACCTTCATCCCCAGGGACTTAAGCTTGGCTGAGAAACACTGCCACCATGCCTTCGGAGCGTCTGCCAAACCATAGATGGTCTTTATGGCTTCCACAACACTGCCTGCAGGAACTCCTGGAACCCCTCCGGGAGGAAGATCAATGAACAGTCGACCCCATTTTGGATCCAAGGCGTCACCTCTTAAGAAAGCCCCTTCCACGTCGGCAATGTTGAGTCTCCACTTGCGAGACGCAATGAGTTGCATGGCTGTAGCAAACCCTTCTGCAGACAACGTCGGTGCACTTGTATCTAGGTGAAGTAGATCAGGATCAAGGTACCCTCTTACACACCATCTTGCCTTGATGTCCTCTGTCAACGGACTGCTTCCCGCTTCTGCTTCCGTCAAGACGAACCGGGATTTCAACAAACGCCCCTTGTCCAACGACCGCCGAATCTTTTCTGCACTCGCACCCACATGCACGCGAATGGCACCGCTGTCCACAAGCTTCTTCCATTCTTTCAACTTGGCCTGATTCAAGCCTTCACGTTTATGCGAAGGAATCTCATGGTCAGTTAACTCCTTGCGGCCCTTTTTGATATTCACTTCAAAACACTCGACCTGTTCCTGCGGCTTCACAGTCCATCCAGCCTTGAGGGTGAACTCGGTGTGTCCAGTCCAGAAACGTCCACGCACAGGAAACTCGGGAACCTGTCCACTTTTCCAATTGTACTCACAACACACCTTGTTTCCAAGCCGATCGAAGCCAACCACGCAACATGTATCCTCAACATGCTTTTCATCAACTGGCAACTCTTGCGACGACGGGAAGTACACACCTCTTCGCTCAACAGCATGTACACGCTCAAGCCTCTCACGCCCATGACTTATGATCCAGTGATCACCATCACTAGCGTACACTTCAAGTTCGTCATCTGGCTCTTCGGCACAAGGAATAGGCACATCCTCAGCACGCACAACATTGGAACGCAATGCACCACTTGACCGACCACTGTCAACCAACTCGGGATCAGCACGCATCATCTGAGTCAACGCAGAAGGCGGAGCAACCAATCTCGCACGTTTGGCTGGTGACTCATCACCACGCACAGCAACGCCAGGAGAAGCCTCATCTCTGCTTCCTGCTCCACCATCACTCACAGGTACCGCAGGAGGTTCTGCTGGTCCTTCATCAAGCACAATGTCACCAACACCTGCGGCTTCTGGATGTCCACCCATGCTTTCTTCCTGCATAGGACTCGACTCAGGCACTGATTCAACGTCCGGTGGTTTCTCAAGCATGCTCAAGTCATAAAATAAAAGTTGCCTGCTCCCCTTGCACTGACAAGACCTCTGATATGCACCATATCAGCTGGAAGCATCTTCACAGTTGCCTCTTGATCTGGAGACAGTGCCCTAAGCTGCTCAGGACAACAACGGTACACCTTGGTTCCTCGTGCAACCCACACCTTTGACACGCCTGCCTTTCCAATCACCACGGCTGGACCATGCCAATGGGCACGATTGTCAAAGCGATTCTTTCTCCATAGGAACACAAGCTGCCCAACCTCGAATGGTTCTCGTTCGGGCCGGGTACGATGCTCCATGGCCTTCCTAATCCTCATGTCATTATCGGCCTCCAAGAATGCTTTCCGCGCGGCTGTGCGAAAGGCAACCCTACGCTCAAAGATTGACTCTCCTTGTACCAAGGCAGAATTGATCAGAGCTCACCAAGCCAGGAATCCTCACGTCGCGACCAAACACATGCTGATTTGGTGCGTGTCCATCTTTTCGGGTCATACTGTTCACGGCACAATTGACCTGATCGATCAGTTCCTGAGCCTCTTGTTTGCTTCTAGGTCTTGCTTCAACTTGTGCCTTGGAGAACGCGACCTTCCAAACGTCACCTTTCTTTTCAGCAAGGCCATTCTGCCAAGGTGAATACGCAGCCGACGAGTCACAGAATGTTCCATCCAATGACAACCCATGCTCGAACTCGCCCTCAAACTCTTTTCCACCGTCGCAAAACGACCGAACTGGAGGTCCAGCCCAGCGTTTCCAGTGTTTCCTATAAGAGTTCCTAACATGTTGGCCTGCATGCGTTTCCATAACGGAACACACATCTGATACCCCGTGGCCTCGTCCACAATGTTGAGGAAATGTACCTTACTGTCACGTACTTCCTGCTCGAAGGTATCCACGCACACCTGTTGATTGAACTCCGTGGCCTTCCTCAGCTTTGTCACGTTATGAGACTTAGGCTTTGACAGCTCATCACATGTTTCACAGCGCAACCCTCTTGCAAGCTTCAGTACCCGTTCACTGGCATGTGCAGCACGAAGCAACATGTTCATACGAGCCGGTGAAGGATGACCTAAGTTTTCATGACATCGCCGCAAGATGGTCATCACCCTCCGGTCGTCCTGTGCATCCTCGCTTCTCAGATCCTCAATGGTGTACACGCAGTGCGCCACATGAACTTCATGAACCTGCTGTTTTGCCTTCAGTGTTCCTGCAGCCACATCCTTCATGAAACACCGAGGGTCCTGCAGCTCCTTCATGTTCATCCAAGTAAATTATTCTGCATCTGTTGATAGACATGACTGCTGTTTGTATACGCTCGCCACGTGTTGTCGCTCTCCACTCTCTCAACAACTAACATGTTCTCATCACTTCGCTGCTTTCTCCACTGCTTCACTCTCCCACTCATGCTCTCATTCACATCTTCCACACAGAACAAACGACCCTCACAGTACTGTTCCATGCAGCACGCAGTCACAAGCCTGGTGTACGCAGCTCGATGCTTCGCATGATACGTCCTAACCCATGTGATCTGGTGGACGCACAACCAGCAGCTTTGGAGAGAACTTCCGGATCATTTTCAGAGCTTGCTCGACAGTCGCAGCCTGACGAATCATGGAGGCGGATAGGTCTTCAAAGACAGCCTCGGTGCTAAGCCCTACTGCCGTGAGCACTTCTTCGCCGGAACCCTTTTCCAACACCATCACATCAACACTACTATGAACACCATACAACTCCACAGGTCCACAGGTTTCCGGGAACAAGCTTCCAACCCACGCCTGCGCAGTTTGCGTTCAGCACTATTCATAGTAGAAACAGCGTCCCCATTTGTGATCGCTGTGCTCAAAAGTCCTCGGCCTCCTGTAGCTCCTCCAACTGGTAGGTCAGTAGCTCGATCTGCTCTCGAAGCCTTCGGCGTCGTCGCTCCTGAGTAGTCTCGGTCGCCGTCTCCGCTTCTGGCTCGGCTGCCACCACCCAGTGATCCTCCCACGCCCCGCTCGATAGAGCGGTTGTCATCGACGGGGGCGGCATCTGTGCCGACGATGCAGCACTCATAGTTCCGGAGGACGTGGGCATTCCTCGCTGCACTCCGGTTGCCCTCGCCTTTGGCTGCCACGCTGTTGCCGCCTTCGCCTTGGGACGCATTGCCAGCAGTTGCGTTGGTTCGGGATTCATCTGCAGGCGAAGAGATTTCCGTTGATCTCGTAGAGCAATGTACAGCCTGAACTGCGTCATCGTAGGGTGGTTGCTCTTCTCCGGACTTGTACTCTTGCCCTTGATGAACTTGCGAACCCACGCTACATACTTTTTGTCCTGCTCGTATGCTGCCTTGAACGTCACGAGCCGGCCCGCCTTCTGGTACTTCCCGATGGTGAAGATCCTTTGACCCAGCGAGCCATCTACGCCTGGCACTGTTGCGTCGAGCTCGTCGTCGCTGTGATCGGCTGCCTCGTCCAGGATTTTGGCGCTCACATCTGTGATCTGGCCCTCTGCTGCGGCAGCTTGTCCCGCCACTTCCTCCATCAGTTCCATGATCAGAGGACTCTGGCCGTATCCCATCATCGGCGCATCGCTCATTGCTTGGCCCGTGTAGCTCACGGTTCGCGGCTGAGCTTGGCACAGCCGCTGCTCTATCCTTCGCACTGGGGACCGAAAACTCTGCGGCATTCACCTCATGCGTCTTGTCACCCTCATTCGGTGCCTCCTGTTGCTCGGCGTGGCCCCTTGGCAGTCCCTCAAATAGAGGTCATGCATAGTGCCCTCGCTCCGTCTCCCGAAGCTTCACGCGAACCCTGTACTTTCCTATCTCAAGAACATCATTCCCCATATCTAATTTAACTTGCAAACTACGCAAAAGTTCCTTCGACAACAGAAGTGGCGTCTCCGAACCTGTACCTGGCAACACAGCCGCCTTAATTGCCAGCTGCTTGCCTCCGAGACACACTGGAATCAGAGCTGTCACCGAAGTCCTAAGAACACCGGCATTACCGAACTTGAACTCATGCCTCTCCCGAACATAGCGAACCCTCAGCCCCGACTTCGCTAGTGTCTCTGACATACGCTTTAAAACAGACTCTCCCACCAAAGTCCGTCTACACGCAGTGTCAGGAACCCCATGGTCATTAAGACCTGCGCACTCAGACATGTATACCTCATCGGACTGCATGTCATCGGCTCCCGATCTGTTCAAAAACTCGGTCAAACTACGCTCAAAGTCCCCGCTCACTTCGCCCGTCTCATTCAGGGCCTCATCCTGACTGGCCAAAACCACTTCCACCTGATCTCCCTTTTCTGCAAGAAATATCTCGAACTTGCCGATCTCATCTACATCGAGGAAGTGTTCATACTCTAAGTCCTTGTACCCGTCCACGCTGTCGTCGGCCACCATTGCCTCGTTGGATCCACTCGGTCGAGTCTGCCGCCCTGAGCCTCCTTGGCCGCGTCGAGGGCATTCCCGCTTCCAGTGTCCACGCTCGTGGCATAGATGACACTTGGTTTTGCTCTTCAGCAACTCCACTTTTCCTTTCACCGTGCCAGACAACTTCCACTGGTTGCCATCGTCATGCTTGTAGCCTCTTCCAAGCTTTTTCTGCTGAACACGCCTTCTTACCTCCTTGTAGGTCTCGAACACGTCCAAGGCGTCCTCGTCATCATATTCATCCGCAGATTGCACTTGGTCCGCAACGGCTTGAAACACGTCATTGATGTGCTCCTCTGTGTTTCCACCGCTGTGGTACTCATCGGCTTCGAAGACCTCCTTGGTCCTCCCATGAACGTTCTTTGCAACTCCATGTGGAAAGATCGCCTGCACTGCACGGGTCACTTCATCGTGCTTGAGCGACCCCTTGGTATGGGTCATGATCAAAGCCTCTGCCGCCGCATCCAGCTGAAGCTTTCTCACCAAGAACCAGCCGCGAACTTCTGAAGGTAACTCTATAGCGTGCTCCTGCAGTCGCCGGTACGCTGTCTGCACCCTCACTTCCAGATTGCGATACGTTTCTCCAGGCCGAATCTGCATGCCATAGAAATACTCTTGCAAGTGGTTGTGAAGAGCCTCCGTCTGTAGTTCCTTGTACCTTTCATCCAGAGCTTCCAGTGATCTTGTCTAGGGGCAAAGCTTCGCAAACCTCCTCTGCTTCACCAGCGACAAACTCAAGCAGTTTCGCCCCCCACCTATCTTTGGTATAGGTGTTTGGAATGGCTAGGAGCATCAACTCCGCCTTCCTTCGCCATCGCCGGTACTGGGACGGCTGCGTTCCATCAAATCTCTCCAACCGAGGTCGCTCATCATCCTTCCCCGGACCACTCATGCTACCAGCTCTCTGCACAGCGGATGTAGTGCGCTCCAGTTGCCACCAGAAAGTATCTAGGGCAAACCAAAGCTCCGCTACCACCTGAGATCTGCTAAGACCCAGGTGGCTCCGACAGCTTCACTTTTGCATGGCTAGCATCGCAAAGAATCTCGGGTACTAACGGGGACCTCGTTTGGTCACAGCGGCAACGGTAGCGGCATCTGATCTGAACATGTGCTTTCTCTGTACACTCTCGAACGTTCGGAATGCACTCAGAAGACCTTAGGTCAACTTTGCATTAGTCGCTTTAAGTTGTACGGCGAAGAATTACCCGAACCGATCGAGCCTCCTCGAAGGTGTCTTGGCGAGCTTGCGTGAGCGGCCCCTGCATAACTCAACTGCGGTCAAACCAAACCAGTGAAAGTGGGACAGACTCGGCTCCGTTGTCAGAGTGCAATTTGGCTCTGTCAAGTCCTGGGGAGTCAGTGGTAGTGGCAGCTGCAGGTGAAGCCTGACGTCCGTGCTCTTCCGGTATCGCACTGCGAGGGAAAAGTCCCCTGCGTGCAGCCCACTCAGCATCTTCTGGGTACCCCGACGCCATGTCTAGATACGCAGCTCCACGGCAGGGAACTGACTTGATAAAGCCTTGCACCTGTCACAAGATTGATGGACATTCATGCGTGCGGAGAGACCACGAGCATCCATTCGGCGGCAAACTGGTCGGGACTTCTATGTTGGATGGGACAAGTCGTGGAACATGTGGATCCACGTGAAGAAGGTTGCAGACCTCTGGGGGGGGTTCACTTCGCGTCGAGAAACGGCCGTAGCAAAAGCCCATTCTGAGACTCCGGCACGAATTCCCCCATCAGGGAGGGCCTGCACATCCACCTGGGCGAGGTTTGACTTGGGCGGCATGTTTTAGTCTTGCCAGGCTGCAAACTTTGCGAGCAGCTTACCATTGACAACAGTGTCGCAGCATTCTTGAAGGTCTGCCCCTGCTCCAGCTTCTGGACCTTCGGACTGAACACAAACATCAAGGATCATCAAGGTATGAGAGGCTTTTGGTCAGACTTAGACTTAGACGTAGCAGCGCTCGATTTCGCAGCTTTTTGGCAACTGTCGTCCGCACTTCCCAGATCAGAATCCCCAATACCAGAGCGACGCGCGTTGCCTGTTGGGGCTCCCGTCCTGACCAGGCTCACGAGGCCTTTGCCTCTGAGCTTCAGAAGCCAATCGGTCTGGGAATGCCGCAGCCAGTGCAGACCTGCTGAAGACACTCGCACAGTGCCCTGTGGAACCTGGAGCAGAGCAATCGCCTCGTTCATTTTGCTGTTCTTTGCTTTGCATTCCTGAGCGCTTGAATCTTCTCTAGTGCAGGGGCCGAGAAGTTTCTGACGAGTGGCCCTTCTTCGGCACAGCCAGTCGCCGTCCACGAAGCCAGGCCGTATCTTGCCACAGCTGTGTTTGTTACATTTCACACCTCGGACAGACACCGATACACACGATACACCTGCATGGAACAGTGGCTCAGCATCAGACGGCTTTCAAAATTGTAGTTGCCGCAATCGCAATACCAGTCACCTTGCATGCAGCACATGCCAGCAGCGGCGAAAGCGCTTTGGACAGCATGGCTCGACCTTGAATAAAACTGCAGGCGATCCGACTCAGAGCTTTCAGAGCCAAGAAGCCCTCCCGCTGTTTGCTGCCCGCCCTCGGCTGTGGGCAGGCAACAGCACTCGTATCAAGCCAGTGATCACGACAAGGCAGCGCCCAAAGGCACACCAACCGAGTCGCATGGGGGTGCCACCAGCCATGCCTTCGGCTTCGTCTGACTCAAAACACGGTGTCGCTAAGCAGCCCGAGGCTTGTGCCGGCGAGGATATCCACGGCTTGGACAAGGGCGGAAACGATGGGGTCTTCGGACCTGCTGACGCATCACACAACATCGCACACCGCCCTTCAAGGCTCTGTGCACATAAAGCTACATCGTTGCTGACCTCTTCGAAAAACCCCAATCTTGCTGGAACTATCAGTGCAATGCTGCTCCGCCACCGAAACAAAAGCGAAAGGACTAAAGTAACCAACGGTCTTCTGCCTTGCAATGACCTTGGGCCTTCTGACGCATCGCACAGCTCCGAGGTCTGCACTGGCCGGCCGGCTGGCCATTCCACTGGCCGTCCCACCAGCCCTGGCCACCCTTCCCACTAACAGCTCCGCATGCTCCGCTATCGGAGCCGCCTTTGCCATACCTCAGAAACGAACCGTTAAACAAAGCACCCGCACCACCCAAGACAGCTGAGCTTCGGAGATGGCCGTATTCTCCTGAAGTGCTTGCCAGGGTGTCCCATGCGAGTGGGCCATACAGCACTCCATAGCTGCGCATTGCAACTTTCCTCGCTGCTTGTCTGAGCCAAGGACGGTCCCCCCTTGGCTGTGGACGAGGCCTCCATCTTTTCCGTCAGATTTGCATTGGCCTTGGCAGAGTTGCATCGCTGGCACCTTGGGCAATGAACCAGCTCCACACATGGTTGATGAACGAAAGGTCACCGGAGCTTCTGCCCGAGTCTTTTTGCATACCTTGTCCAGAAATCGAAACCACATGAAGCTTACAGGTGATATGCCCCTTCCACCGGAGGAGCCGATGCTGTAGAGGCATGACAGGCACAAGATTAAAGCCTGATGCGTGCAAAAGCATGCAAACTGTTTATGACACTGTGGCGTAAGGTTCGCGGGTCGGCTTTGATAAGTCTGGGTGGTGCTAACGCTTCGTACAGTCAAGTGGCGCATCTCTGGAAGCATCGTTTTCCTGAGTTTTTGATCTCGATGGCATTTTCCCCGCCGGTAAGGGTCAGTGCAGCCGAGCGTCTGAGCGGCAATTGCTGCACATCCAGTCTCCAGCTGTTTTGCCGGGTCTTAGCTTGCCGCAGCTGTTGCAGTAGATGCGGCTCCTTAGATGTGTGCTTTCGTCATGCACTCCGTGTCGGAACGAAGGTCGAACCTGTCGGCCTACACGCCAGGCCAAGAATCGCAAAGTTGTGGTTGCCACACTCGCACATCCTTACATGACAGCTTTGGGCAGTGCTCGCTGGCTTTACGACGACATGCGCATCGTTTCTCGCTGGTCCAGCTTTCAAAAGAATCCTTACTTTCGAGGGGTGTGCAAAGGGCTATCAGCGCAAGGAGCAGCGCTGATCAAAGTGACATGACATGCCTTTGAAATTGCGTCTTGGCCCTCCGATGATCTGTTTTCATAAGTTTGTGGTGGCAGCATGTGCTACATACCCTGATTCGAATACCTTTGATCATACTGTTGTTTGACTGTGGGTTTTGTGTGCGTTTCATCTTACATGCCTCCCGGCTTCTAGCGTGCATGTTCCAGTACTGCGAATATGTGAAATATGTGTATACATATACACACACACACACGCTGTATACCTATTATATATATATATATATGCTAACCCCCCCCCCCCGAAGAACTACCGCGAGGTGCCGCGATAGCTCCACCAACCCTCCCAGGTTTAGGCTTCTGGTGTATGATCCCGGCTTAGTGTTTGGTTTTGAACCTCCCAGAGGAC